GGCCGCCCTGGGCGGGCTGCCCCTGCACGAAAGCCATCGCTCGGGACGGGCCTACAGCAGCGCCCCAGCGGGCCGCAGAGCCATCGGGGAGGTCGGGCGGAGCGCCCCGGTCGCCGAGGAAGCTCAAGCCGCTCCTCCGGCGGAGGATGCCATGGAAGGGGAATTTCAGCGGCCGGGGAATCCCCAGACGAGCGTCTTATCAGACGAAAGGAGGCATGCCGGGAGTTGTAGTGCCCTGGGAGGGGCGATCCCTCACGCTATCACCCGGCGCCTGCGCTTTTTAAGAAGGAAGGCCGAGGCGCCATCTTGCTTTTTCCTCGAGGTACGATGGGAACGAGAGTTCGCCCACCGCAGTGCGAGTGAGGCCGGTTGAGTATCGTTTGCATCCTTCAGCGTTTTGGTGTTTCCCTGTCAGCTGCCTCTTGTTTATATCACTAGGCCGTTTAATTCTCCCTCGCCTACCCGCTGGGGTAGAATTCCTTGACTTTCGGGAGGACCCCAAGTTCGAAGGACGGCTTATAATTAAGCGACGTCACACCCCAAACCAACGCAAAGCCTGAAGGGAGATGGAGTCATTTGTAATTTCCCTCTCCCCGCCCCCTCGTCCTTAGCTGCGATTGGGTGAGCCCAACGCTCCCTTTACGCCCAGCCTAAACATCGTTGACGTCAGACTATGTTTGTTTGTAGCCTGGTTGGTCATTGGGTGCTGTCCCGCGGGGCTTTTCGGGGGTTGTAGTTTTCCTCTCAGGGGCGACGCTTGGTTTGGAGACTCGGCGGAGCCGCCGCGCGACCTTTCATGGAAAGTCGGGAAGGTAACGGTGCCGCTGCGGGAACGGTGGGCCGAGGAGGAGGCGGCCGAAGGCCTAGGCCCCCCGCCCACTCGCCCCTTCTTCCGTGTGTTTCCCTTGTCACAGGCGCTGCCGCCAGTCCCGAACCGGACGCCGAAAAGGCCTCAAGATCCTCGGTGAGGATTTAGGGGGCGACCCTCCAAATTCCGCCTGCGGGACCTTCTCTCTGCGCGGCTCTCCCCGACGGGGGGAGGGGGCGCCTTGAGCGCTGTCGATCAGGCAGGAAATCCAACCGGTAGAGCTTCCTGGGAAAGTGGCTCGAGTCACAGAATAAGGCTTACTTCAGGGCTTTTGAAACCGTTTGAAGCAGGCTTCCCTGAGCCGCCCGTTCCTGGGAGGCTTCCACCCCCATTCTCCCCTAGGTGGGGTGGACTCCCAGGCCCATCATCCCCGGCAGAGCTGGGTGGGAGTCGCAGGAGCAAAAGTCCAGCCCGTCTGAGCAAAATCCTGCTGCGACGACGAATTCCTTTTTGTTGAATCCTGCAGTTATTATTATTAATAATTAATAATTATGCTAATGTATTCTTCTAGCGACTGGCACTGGGAGACCCACCCCTTGGACCTTTAAAGCCTCGTATGGCTTGGCTCCCTGAGGGTAGACTCTGCCTGGTCATGGAGGCACGGCAGGAGGGGACACCGGGGGTCCCGTCTCTAAATAGATTCTTTATTACCGCTGGTCCACAAAACCCATTGCGCACGTAAAACTAGTATTCATTGTGGAATTAACTAAGCATATCAAGACCTAAATCAATAATGTGTAAATAATAAATACATCCATACATAAATATAAATAAATCGATAATACATAAAACTAGTATTGTGGAATTAAGTAAGCATATAAAAATTCATAAATCAATGCATAAAAAATACATCCATCCATCCATATAAATAATAATATATAAAACTAGTATTAGTTGTGGAATTAAGTAAGCATATCAGTAATTCCTAAGTCAATAATACATAAATAATACATAAATATAATAAATCAATAATGCATGAAACTAGTATTAGTTGTGGAATTAAGTAAGCGTATCAATCAAACCACTGCACATATTACAGACTAATGATGAAATTTGGCTACCCTTGAAAAGATAGAGGTCACTTGAGACTGAGAGTAACGGTTGTAAATAAAACTGGGCAGAATAACTGGGGGATTCGATTCGGTGTGGAACGATTGACTCGAGGCAGCTGTCAGCATAAAATGGACCGTATAAAAGGACGCGTCTTGCTGTTTCAGAGGCTCCTCCACATAGCCATAGTCTAAATTCAAATGGAATGTCCTTATATCTCCCCTCTAAAACTGGTGGTGGGAGGACATTGAACCATGACAGGTTAAGTGCCCTTCTGAGTTTGAGGACTGTAATTTGACTTAAGCACCTGCAACTCTAGAAAGAGTACAGGAGCTACTTAAAAATATGTCTTTAGGAAAGGATAGGTTTTTGGAAGTTTTGGAATTTCTCAGTGGTTTTCTTTCTGATACAGGTAGTCCTCAACTTACAGTGCATTCGGAAAGTATTCAGACCTCCTTCATTTTTTTTAGTTTTGTTATGTTGCAGCCTGATACTACAATCGTTCAAAT